CTGGGAAGATGGCAGCTTACCACCCAGAGTGGAGAGTCCTTAATGTAACAAGATACAGCTTGCTCATAGGTTAGTACCAGTGAAGCCTCATTATGCTTCACCATCTCCCAGTACATAGCTGGGAAAATGGGGCAAAGAAGGAAAAGCTGTTATAAAACATGACTCTCTCTGAGATGTCACCAGTAAAAATAAAAGGATCTTTTGTGAAGTCTGAAGATGATCAGTGGCATCTACTTCTAAAAGTATTCCCTAATCCTCTTTGGCTCATTAGTCCTTTGGACCCTCTGATACAACAGCAAACAGAGAAAACTGCTGAATCCCAGCCTGTTTGAAACTAGCCATGAAGGCTACTGGAAAACTCCAGCTACAGCAAGAGCTGACACTGAAAAGTTCATGCTGTATTAACACGCAACGATCTATATGATGGCCAAGGTGTTAATCAGTAGTTAGAGCTCTGCATGGCCACCCTCTGAACCAGCTCTCTTATTTTCCTCTGCAATCAATCAGCTGTCTAATTTCCATTTTTCTGGAAAAGCTTGTTCTAACTCCTCTGCATGAGCTGGGGCGCAGCGTTTTTGATACAAAGCCCAAATCTGATATGATTAGGTTTAGCATGTGTTGTGATGTGTTATCTACTTACCTACAAGTATGGTATGTGATAGTCCTGTCAACATAGGATCAAGGTAGGGAGGGGTGCTGTGTTTTCCTACAATAAATGACAAAACAGGCCAGCCTTGAGGCCCACAAGCCTTTTTCAGATCAAAAAGGGCTCTCAGCCACCAGTCAAGGTTGGCTTTGGTTCCCTTTTTAGATCATGGATTATCACATTTCTTTGCCAATCTCTGTCACTGATAAGCAAACCCATGTGTAACCTACCCAGATATAAATAGATCTGACAATTAAAGAAGGCTACACCTTTATTTTACACACACTAGGTTAAAAGCAGTTTGAAAGTTCCATCTTCACAAGGTTTGGCTCATTACTGTTGACGACTGCTTTGTAGCTATCTTTCCACACACCTTCAGGGCTTGCATGTATTACAAGCTTAAGCAAGATTTTGAAATGAACAGTGGGGAAAGTAGCTTGCACAGCTTTGATTTTCTGGATTAGAATGTGATTGTGAAATGCACACTGTGATCTGTGCACGGTTTCATGTTCAGCACGGGAAATACAAGCGGCATTTTCCACTTGTGTGGTTTTTACAGGACAATACAAAGAAGCATTTCCTACCATGTGTCATTTTTAAAGAGCTTTTTCTCATATGAAAGACAGCATTTTGGTGAAAGTGGTACACGTGGTCCTTTGGGGTTTTCTGCAATAGGTAAAGTGTCAAAACTGGCATTTGTTTCCTGAGCTTATCTTGTTTCCTGATGCTTTTTAGCTATTTCTTTGGTCCAGTGAGCCAGTGCCATCTTAGCTGGTGTCAGTCTTACTCTAGTCTTCAGACTACAGCTGTTAGTATGATGTGCTTCTTGATGCCCAGTCTCTGTGGCACTGGAAGCCACCACCATCTTCTTCTCTTTGAGCATCCAAAGAGTTGGGGTTTGATAAAAAGCCTATGAGCATGAGCCTTGTTTAAATCACCCTGAAGCTGCAAGTGCTTGGTTTTCTTACTTGCCTTCCTTAGAGCTGCAGCCTTAGTCCTTTTAAACAGTCTGGTCCCACGTATGGGTGAAATCGCAGCTTTCTGGACTCTGCTGAAGTTTGCTGCTTTGTTTCAAGAGTTGTGTGTGATGTGCATTAGCAGGAAACTGCAAATGGCAGAATGAAACTCAAAGGTACAGATATCACTTAGGATAATCCCACTGCTTCCTAAACCACCCTCTTGAATCAGGCTACTTGCAACTGCTGTCGTTGCTGTGGATCCCAGTGAGGCTGCACATCCAGAGAGGACTTCACTTTGTAGAATGGGCTCAAGTTCAACTTTAGATTCAACATTTCTTTGGAATAACATCTGTAGTGCTGATGTCTGAAAAGGGCACAAAGTGCTTTATACCAGTTCTGACTCCAGCTGGCAGTTTCAAATGGGGAGCTCACACTTGAACCACAAGTGCAAAAAATACCCTATAAGAATCACAAGATTTCAAGGTTGCATGATTCTTGTTGTTTTAAAGAGCTGTACTTGGGAATCTCTTACCTCAGATGAGCTCATGTTTATATGACTAAGTCTCCCCTGGAAGCCCATGAAACAAAAGAGGTTTGAAGATAATCCATGTGGATCTTTGAACACATTAAACTGGCTGTTGAACAAAAACGTCTTAACTTTATTGACAGAGGCATTATGTGAAAACAGCTGCTCACTTCTGCGGAGCTCCATGGCTGCCTGACAGGGAGGTTGCCTTCCAGCTTTATATACACACACACAGGAACTGTGCATCATGGATGTGCCACATCCCATCTATACGATGAGCAGATCTGAGGTTCTGGAAGAGGAGATTCTCTGACTTGGTTCCTGTAGTGATGTTTGTAAAACATAACATACTGCAGGTAAAAATGTTGGTTTCCCAGGTCTATGCAGTGTGGGAAGGAGGAGAAAGCAAGCAGGAATTCTTGCTCTTCCAAAGCCTCAAAGTATTGAGTGTACGTGTCCTGAATCCTCTCCCTCAGTGCCCCAGAGGGAGCATATCTCTTTCTGGCAAATATATATATATAAAGACTGTGAATTATATGTATGTAGACTGTGGATTTCACAATCTAATTTGCTGTCTGAGGTTTCATGTTTAGGGTTACACACAGCTCAGGCCAACATATGGTTAAACTGTCCCACACACAGAAAACTAAAACAAGTGCCAAAAAGTTGAGGGTTTGTATTAAAGAAGTTTAGTAGCCCAAAGGAGAGAATAGTGACCATATAAACTGTGGGCAGGGCAGAGGAGAGGTTAAGATACATCACCTCATTACTGAACAAATCAGGAGTTGGAGATCATCTCCACTTAAAGTATTGGAAGAACTGAATATGGAATTAGCAAGTGCGGTCTGAGGAGGAGAATGGCAAATGTGGTACCTGTCCTCAAAGAGAAGGTTGCTAGAGGCAGCACAGCCTGCAAGTTTGATACCAACAATAAGGGAAGTTTTCTGAGGGGGAAAAACCTGATGAACAAAGGGAGTGACTGAAAGTGGTGAATTACACCAGGGCTTTATCACAAGTGCAATCTGTTAGATAAGACACTCTCTTGATTAGAAAACTAATTTCCTTAACAGAGGCAATGTAGTGGATTTAATTAACTGAAGCCTTAACTCAAAACACATCACTGAATGTGGAAATGAGGGGGATTCCTACAGGAATTCCAAGGGGGTTGTGGAGCAGACTGGGTGGGTGGCATGGTCTTTTTTCTTCCTTTTTTACATTAACTGCTATGTTACTGGGTTGTTGGAGGGGATGCTCCTTTCCTTTCACAGATTGTCGAGTCTGATCTTCCCATGTGCATCACTAGTAACCAAGGTTTATGCTTAGGAACTTTGAGAGCAACACGAAGCTGGTAGTGTCAGAACAGAAGGACAGGATCATCCTCCAGGAGAAGCAAGATAAGCTTTACAGAACAAGGTACAAAATTGTATGATTACTGATAAAAAGAGCTTTTGGTACAAAATGTAGTAAGTGTCAGGTCCTGCACACATAATCTAATAGTACAGCCCAGGCTGGGATCTACCCAGCTGAGAGCAGCTCTGTGGAGGGGCACCTGGGGTCCTGGTGGACACAAGCTCAATAGGAGAGAGCAGGGAGCTGCTGCAGCAAAGAAAGCCAACAGGTTGCTGGGGAACATCAAGGGCATCACCAGCAGAGATAAAGAAATCATCATCCCACTTGGTCCTTCTCTGGCCACACCTGGAATACTGTGTTTAGTTTGGGTCCCTACTGTGCAAAAAAGATGTGAAGAGGCTGGAGAAGGTGCAGAGAAGGACCACAAAGATGATCCAAGGACTGAGAAGGCCATTGTGTGAGGAAAGGCTGAGATAGAGCTGGGCTTGTTCAGCCAGAAGAAAAGAAGGCTCAGGGAAGACCTTATCCCCATGTTCCAGATTTCAAAGGGTGGCTGCAAAGATGGAGACTCTTTTTTACAGTGATTCACATGGAAAAGATGAGGGGTGATGGGTGCAAGTTACTCCTGGGGAGATTCTGACTGGACACAGAGGAGAATTGTCCACAATGAGAACAAATATTCATTGGAATAATCTCCCCAGGGTATTGGTGGGTTCCCCAACGTTGGACACTTTTAAGATCCAGCTGGACACAGAACCACAGAATCAGCCAGGTTGGAACAGACCTTTACGATCAAGTCAAACCATTCTCTCAGCACTGCCAAGGCCACCACTAAACCATCTCATCTATACAGTGTGTGAACACTTCCAGGGGTGGTGATTCCACCACTGCACTGGGCAGCCCGTTCTAATGCCTGATTATTCTCTTGGTGAAGAAATTTGTCCAAATATCCAATCTAAACCTCCCCTGGTGCAGCTTGAGGCCGTTTCCTCTTGTCCTATCATTTGTTACTTGGGAGAAGAGACCAGCCACCTCTTTGCTCCATCTTCCTTTCAGGTAGCTGTAGAGAGACATGGTGCTGGGACATTTAGTCTAGATCATAGAACCATAGAGTGGTTTGGGTTGAAAAGGACTTTAAGATCATCTAGTTCCAAATCCCCTGCCCATGAACAGGGACAGATCTCATGCTGTGTCGAGAGAGGTTGGAGCAGATGATCCTTGGGGTCCCTCCAACCTGGGATCCGATGATGATGATCAAAGATTCAGCAGTCAGAGGAAGGACATCAGAGCCATCAGACACGTGAAACACCACAGGGTTGCTACTGTGGAAGGAAGGGCCGGTGTGTTTCCAGCTGGGAAGGGAACACCTTACCGCGGCGTGCCACGGAACTCAGAGCACCGCGCACCGCGCACATCAACTTCAACCGGGACGAACCGGGAGGCACTGCCCCGCGCCTCCTCGCCCCGCCAGGGGGCGCCGAAGCGCCGCGCCGCACCCAATCCAGCGCCACCGCTGGCCTCCAGGCTGCTCAACCGAGCGCCGAGCGTCCCGCTCCCCGCTCAGCCCGAGCCGCCGACGGCCGATGCGGCCCCGCCGCGGTGGAAGATGGCTGTGTCGCGGGGGCTGCGGTGCTGCCAGCGCGCCTTCGCCTGGCTGCCCGTCCTCATCATCGCCCTCGTCGTGCTCTGGTCCTATTACGCCTATGTCTGCGAGCTGTGCCTGGGTGAGCGCTCGGCGGGACGGGGAGGGTGCGTGCGTGAGGCCGGGATTGGGCCGGGGGCAGCGGGGCCCTGTCCTTCCCCGGGGCCGGACGGTGCTGAAGCGGGTCCGGAGCACGACAGAGCCCCGCTGCCCCTGGCCTGTGGTAAGGGCGAGTGTCCGGAGGTGGGAGCAGTGTCCGCGCTGAGATACACCGAGGCCAGGTTGGACACAGGGGCTTGGAGCAAGCTGCTCTAGTGGAAGGGGTCCCTGCCTGTGGCAGGGGTTGGAACTGGATGAGCTTTAAGGTCCCTGCCAACACAAACCAGGCTGGGATTCTATTATACGTGACCCTGGTTGGGTGGTAATGAGGTGATGGCGTGGGTGGGAGGAAACACGCCTTGAAACAGATCAAGGCCATTGTGGGATTACTTAGTGGGGTTTCTATAGTGTGCTGCCTTGGCTTTCCATAGGATTTATATCCTGGCAGGGCTGGACAGGTCTGTGGGTTCCTTAGTCATGAGTCCATGTATTGTGTGTTCTCATGTCAGCCGGGGGAAGTGACGTTCGTGAAGACTGGGAGGCTTATACCACAGTGACCGTCCCTGTTGTTGCCGCGTGATGTGATTTTTGGTTTAATCAGTAACAAAAATCAGTGTATTCCCAGAGCTGAAGTCACTTTGTCGTGTTCGGAAAAGGAAATAAAGAGGCTGTGCTAAATCACAGTCCCGAGTCAAAGAACCTCGTACAGCAGTGTGAAAACCACTGAACTTTAGAAGGGAAGGTTTTGGTACAGGCTAGCAATTGCATAGTTGAACAATTTAATTGTATAGCAGGGACAAACTTTCTTGTGTTTGTCATATTCTGGTGTAATGTGCGTGCAGAAACCTGTTACTAGAATAAAGGGCTGCAAGGTCTGGTGGAGGTGGAGAGGACAGCTGCTGGTAGCTTGGACTTTTGCAGTGGTGAGGAGGAGCGTGGTGCTCTTCCTCCTCAGGACAGGGTAAGCTAGAGACAGGAAGACAGAGCTCTCCAGGCAGTTTGAGAGGTTGCTATGAAAGAGCTGGTCTCTGGTGCTGCGCAGCAAGTTTAAATCAGGCTTTGTTAGGGTTGCCAGTGCAGTGAGACCTGTTGTTTCTTAATGGGGACTAAAATGCAGTGCATCTTCTTTGATCTGTTTTAATTGGCAGCTAGGCAAACCTCCCAAATATTTCATGACATTTTATTCCATCTCTGAGGTTGTGAGCTGTGTTATGGGATCACAGAGTAGCTTGGGTTGAAAGGGCCCTTAACCATCATCTGGGCTTTTAGTCTCAATTTAAAATCCCTTTTCCTTGCCCATTTCCCGGGTAGGTGGTGCTGAGCTCTGGCTGTTGGCCCCAAGGCTGCTCACCTCGCACATGGGGCTAATCTGCATTAATTAGCCTCGGTGGCCCTCACTGGCTGCACCTGTGGGTACCACCCACACCCCTCCCATGCTCGCCAGTGCCAGAGCTGCAGCAGGGCTGTTCTGCAGCTCACATTGGTTTCCTGGCTTGACTTTGGACTTGAGGTTTCATCTGCATGAACTTGGGTGGTTTCTTCCAGTAATTCACATGGAATGATAACTCCAAGGTGCACGTAGCTGTCAGAACATGTGACAGAAACAGAGGGTATGTTCCTGAGCTGCTGCCAGTCTTTTGTGCTCTGTTTGCAGTGCTGTGCGAGTGCAGTAACATTTAACACCTGCTAACTCCAAGTCTCAGTGTACCTGTCAGAAAAGACTCAGCTGAGCGTGTGGTTTGGGCCTGTGTTGTTCTGTAAGCGCTGCTTGAGCTGGCAGGAGCTCATCTCCCTGCCTGGAATCACAGCTCAGAATCACTCCCTTGCCCACACCCGTCTGTTTCTTTGCCCCATCTTTCTCTCTCGTGCATTTTCTTTGCGTCTGGAGGAGGTTTTCTGCACAGAAGTGAAATGACGACGTTATTTTAGGCTTTGAACAGTAACTCTTGGCATATGCAGTTATACAGACTCAGTCAGAGATCAATATGATCAGACAAAAGCCGTTTATTACAAAGCCATAACCCCTTAAATGCTGTTTCTTACACGCACTTACAGTGATTTGGCATATTATGATTGGATGCATGTCCTGAAGACCCTTTGCAACTAGCATATAGTTGGTTAAGCACAGGTGTGGGAACTTGACCTCGAAAGCTTGCCAACAGTCCACAGTTCTCATTAACTCGGTGAAATCCAGCTGCTTCTTATCTTGCTTCTTTAGGCTTCCTCGGGCCTCTCATGGCCTTGCTGTATCTTTCAGGATTTTCAGTTTATGTGCCAGTTATCCATTCTCCTGAGGGAACACTGTCCCCACACAGTTACTTGAAAACTATCTCTGAGGACATTCTCTCTCTTTCACATTTCTAGCATGGGAAGGCTTCCTTGTATTGGCTTCCTTTGTTACAGGTTTCTATTGTGTTTTGCCAGTTCATTGCATATTCCCGTTGCAAGGGCGTAAATAGATTGTGTTTGGATTCTTGATTTTCATCTTCAGTTGTGCAGGCTGCTGAGGCCTGAGAGTACTGTGGAAGTGAAGTCCTGGAGATAGTGGGGTTTGAACTTTGAGTGGTATGGTCAGCAAGCGACACTCCAGAGGAGGCTGTGATTTTACATCTGGTTGGTGGTTGCTGCCACAGTGAGAAACCATGACCCAGAGTCCTGCAGTAAAACCTTTTGTATACTCTCTGTTTAGGGGTTTGCTCTTTTCTCATGTAAAATCCTTGGAAAGGCCATGCTGCAAGGGTGACATGTACTTCAGGAGGGGACCAGGCAATGTTTGTGAAGAGTTGTTGTACTCTTCACAGTTTGATTTGCAGCAAACCGAAGGAAATCTAAATGCTTCCTAACAGCCTCCATCTGAAGTTGAGCGTGCAGAGACATGGCAAATGTTCGGTCTCTCTTTTCACATGCGTTGTTGTGTATCATAGAAGTCGCAGAGCAAAACGGTTTGTTAGCAGGGTTAAAAGAAAAGCTAGTTTCATTAGCAAGAGCAGGGCCGCTTGGGTCCTGCTCTGATTTACATTTTCCAAGCTTGTTGTTCAAGTAAGGCGATAAAGTCTTAAAGAACAAAGTCTCCTCCCAGGCACTGGCTGTACACTGGAAGTGAAAGGCTGTGCAGCCTCACAGAGCTGCTGGTGGGGTCACCACTGCTGTGTGCAGTCTCACACATCTTTTAAGTCTTATTTTTGTCGGATTACTCTGTCTCTGGTTCAGTTACAACCGTTACATTCAAGGCTTGATATAAGGGGCTCCCATCCTGAGAACAGTCTTTGTCTTCCAAGCAGTATTCTGTCAAGAAACCACAGAACTGCTCCATTTTCAGTTCAAGATGTCTTTTTGTTGTCAGTTAAACCCGCATGATGGCTTTTAGAATAAGGGGTGGCTTTTAAAATAATCAGTAGCAGCAAGCTGAGCAATGTATCCTTTGGGGTTGCTCTAAGTGGTTCTGTTAGTAGGGACTGTTCCTATGATTACGGTAAAGTTGGGAGGGGTTGTAAAAACTCCATTAGTAGGAAGTGTAAAACTAATGGAGTTATTAGAGTGGATCCTTTGTTGCTGACTAAGAGCCTTTGTAATTTATGCTGATGCAGAAATGCATCGGGGCACTGCTGCTGCGGAGGATCAAGCTACAGGTATGTGCTTGTAAGTACATGCACAGAGACAGTTGCTAGAGGAGCCCTGGTAATGGTGCCACAGTGGATTGTCTTTGTCTTATTTCCAGTGTACAAATAGAAGAAAATCTATTTTGTAACAAGGCAAAATACATCATAAGCAGCAGTTACGGAACATCTTGTGGGTGTCATTTGCATGGGCAGAGGAATTGTAACAGATGCTTTTTATTTGGTGCTAAACTTTGGGCTTTCTTCTTGTCTGTTGAATTTGAAGGGTTTGTTCCTCGAAATGGCTGTATTTCAGATAGAAATGTTATTTACTTGTCACAGGCTTTTGTGGGAATCCTCTTTGCTCTGTTTACATGTGGGTTTTTTCTCTTACAGTGACTCTGAGCAACCCAGTAGAAAAAGGTATGTGCATTCAGTTTACTGCTGACATTCAGTGCTTGGGTAAAAAGATTCACAAATGTTCCAGGTAAAACAGCAAAAGCACTTTCTGTCAATTTCTTTTATACCTACATACCCTTTCAGCGTTTCCTTCCTGTAATTTCACACTCATGCAGCACACAGCATGCACTGTCAGACATGCTGTAACTTCTGGGTGTATTTGAAATGCCCCAGTTTAGTCTCGGTATAAGAGAAGAACTCAAAAAGGCCTTGATCCCTTTTTCAGGAAAAGCTATGTATGTCTGTGTACACCCATGCACCACCAGCAATGCCACATTGCTGCGTCAGGTAAATTCTCTTTCCACTATAGAGCTGTCCTAATAGTTGAAACTGCTACAGAGGAACTGTAGGAAGCATGCTATTAATGATTGCTCAGCAGAAGGAAGTTATTAGCTGCCTAATCTATCAGTGCATCTCCAGGTCAGCTTCCTCTGACATGCTGCTGTGTTGCTTTATGAACAAAATTAAACCTTTTGCAGGATTTATCTCCTTGCATATTGATTTAGGAATGACTGAGCTCCACCTACATGTGGGATAGGGATAGCATCTCAAACTTGAGAGCACACTAATGAACTACCATTGAATCACAAGTCGTTCACACAACCCCTTGCATTTCTTGAGGCGTATCAGATCATCGTCCATCTCTCTCGAAGGTCTCAAAGCTTACCAGTTACATTTCACACAGGCACTCTTGCCTGAGAAGTTGCTTGGATTTCAGACTTCTCTTCCCACTAGTAGTAGTTACTTTAATCTTCATTTCTAGAATTTGAAACTTAAATGAAATGGGTGGGGAACTGTGTTGTTATTGCCATTAAATGGTGTTTGAATAAAACTGTGGTAGCTGTTTGATAATGTCTTAGTGAGTTGAGTATTAAAGAGAGAATAATCACATGGTCTGTGTGGCTGTAGGATTGCTGTCCTTTGGCTTTCTAAACTTCAGTATGCCTGCTTATGGCCAAAGGCTTTGAAATAAAGTCTGCACTTTGAAATAAGGTGACTCTGATGCACGCTGGGTTTCATGTGATAATCTTGTGTCTGATGGATTACAGCTCTTCCTCAGTAGTCACAAGACCCATTTGGCTCAATTTGAGGGATGTTTTCCTGGTTTGTTTTATGATATCGACTGTGGTAAATCTAAAAGATGATTAAGAAGAGATGTGATTATTTTTCTGGTGATGTAAAGCTGTCCTGGAGCGTTTCTCAGCTCTCAAGTAGTGAAGAATGCACTGCACGAGTGGGCAATACCCTAATGATACAGAACTGTGCTTGTAGGTGCATTTAGTAGCAACTGAACCCCAAATTTAGAGACACTGGAGTATAGCAGTATTAACCTGTATGCTGCTCAGCAGCAGCCAGTTCGGCTTTGCTTGTGCCTGGGAGGCAGGAATCCTGTCTTTCCCAGTGAAGTCTCTTACAGCTGTATTCTTACCCATGGACTCAGATCAGGTGGAGAAGGGGAAGGCTTGTGAGGTAGGTGACCCCTAACTGCAGCCACAGAGCTCTGAAATGCCACTGGCCCCATCACCACAGGGTTTAGCTCTGTTCTAGTACTGGTCAGTGCTGTAGAACTTCTATATTTTTTGGTCATTGTTATGAAAGATTGGAATGATGCCCATCATGAATGAAACTTTTGCTTAAGAAATCATTGTTCTGTTTCTGTTTTTGTTTTGTTTGTTGTTTGTTTTGTTTTTGTTTCTTTTTAGTGGCCTATCTTATAATATTCCATATTCTCTTTGTGCTCTTTGTGTGGACATACTGGAAGTCTATTTTTACTCTCCCGGTGCAGCCAGGTAAAAAGGTAAGAGCCCAAGCACTTGTCATTCACTGCAGAATGAAGCAGTTGTTCTAGTTGATCTGAACAACTGGTTGGATTTCCTAAAGAGATGGAAAGTGACCTGGAGTTGTCCATAAAACTGAGTAACTTACTGTTCTGAGAATCCCGTAATGCCCCGAAGAGCGTGATTTAAATCAGGGACAGTGTTGGCTTCTAAAGCTGCCTTTCCAGGTGTTTCAGGAGCTGGTAGGAGTTTTCACATTGAGAATAACAGGATTGATGATGATTTAACTTACATATTTATAGTCATTGATCTCTAAGCATTTACCAAGTTGCAAGCCAAATCCTGAGCACCTTCCCTCAGCTGGCCTTACTGCAGCTCCTGAGTAAGGACCTTCAGTTCGGTTGTCACTCTTCATGGTGTTCAGAGTGTTTAATGATTAATAGTGTAGTGAAGGGTTTGCTGTTGTTTTCTAACACAGGTGGCTTATTTTGGGACAAGAGTATGAGTTAGTGGTTTGAGCACAGGCAGACGTTTGTTTCAGTTCTTTTTCTACTGACTAGTTACTTTTTCATGTTGAGATTGGTGGATTTTTTTGCATTTAGTTTTACCTCCCTCTGAAATGCTGATAGAACACTGTGTTGGAGCAGTGGAGCTGGTGTTTGTGTGGCACTCCAGATGTACTTGCCTGTAATCACATCTTAATTACAAGAATGTAAATTTAGACAAAACAAGTAATCCCAGTTTTAGAAATACAGAATTATGGCTGGAGACAGGTGCTTGCTCACAAGGGAGGTGCCTGAAGTGACCTTGTCATGGTTAGCAGTGTTCTTCATGAGAAATAGTAATCTAAGGCAGCGGTAGTAGCACTTCTAGTATGTTGTTTGGTGATGCTTAATTTCCCTTTCCTGTTTCTTACTGATGCATCACATCGTATTCTGGCTGTCCAGCACTTAACTGTCTCTTCATCTTCTTGAAAACCTTTTCACATTAGATTAACCTCTTTAGGAGGAGTGGGAGGGAAAATGTTGCCAAATCCACCTGTGTTTGAAACCCTCTCTCTGCTGCCCATGGGTAACTGCTCCTCTCATTCCTCCTTCCAGTACCACATGTCCTACGCTGACCAAGAGCGTTACGAAAATGAAGAAAGGCCGGAGGTGCAGAGGCAGATTCTGGCTGAAATCGCGAGGAAGCTGCCGGTGTACACGAGGACGGGGAGCGGAGGTGAGCGGAGCAGCGGCTCTGTTCTCTGATCACGCAGGCTGCAGCGGCCTGCGCTGGCACTTCACATGACACTGCTGACATACAGGGTGTTCCTGACACCGCTGCATGTGCTGCGTAACTCTTGGGTAACTAATTGTAAAGCCTTTTCTCTCAGGTTTTATGTTTGGGAAAACAAAAAGCCCTGAATGCTTCCGTTCATGCGCAGTGGAGCACCAAGTGCTGCCTTGGAGAAGCAATGTGTTCTCCTTGGTATTTACCATTCAAACGCCTACGTGTGTTGTCTGCCTTTAGTAATACAGTGACTAAATTGGCAGTTGTTTTTCCTTGCAGTGGAGTCCAGGTAAGGGCTGCAGGACAGAATTCTGTGGGCAGATTTCTGGGTCCTGTTGGGTGATTAAATGCACACTCTGCTCCTTTCAAAGCTTAACAGAAACCCGTGTTCATATTGGAGGTGCTGCCCTATTCGTTTCTGTTGCCAAGCCAAAGAATTTTGAAGTAAAGAACTGCTGTACAGGCAATTATCCAAATGGAATGTAGTGAAGTCTTGGTACATGTAGAAGCCAGAGAGAAGTGTACAGTTCTGCTTTATCACTTTGAACCTGTTGTATGCTTTGCAGTGAGGATTGTTCTTCACATTTGCAGGCCTCCAGAAGAATTATGAGCTTTGCTTCTCTGATTGCAACCTGGCAGCACAAATCAGCTGCAAATGCGCTGATCTTTTGAAATGATAGAGGAAAGAATATGAATGGTTAGGAAATGAGGGGAATATTAACTAATGTGGGAAAAGAACAGCTCTGTTACTCGGTATTAATACGTTTCTAATTTCAGGTATTCGGTTCTGTGATCGGTGCCAGCTGATAAAGCCTGATCGTTGTCACCACTGTACTGTTTGTGCCATGTGAGTTACTGGGTGGTTTGTCACTGAAGTGAATAGTCAGCACTAAGTTATGTGAATGGGCTGGGCCTCTACACATACAAGTGCCCTTGTACCTCTGGGCCAGCTGCAGTCTGCAGAGCAGTGACAGTGTGTGACAGCACTAGCAATGACATTTCTGTCTGTGGCCCTGAAGTGTTTGCGGTTTCCACACCTTGCGAGTGCATCAGTGTTAAATTGCTAGAAAGCAATGCCAGTAAAAGAAAATCCACTGATTAACCCGGGCAGGTTAAAATAAAGTATGATCTGACTTTTTTTAATATATATATTTAATTTGGTTTAATATTCCAGACCTTTACCTGTGGTGTTTTCTGAAGATTATAGGGCTTACACAGCAGAAATCATTTTCATGTTGTATTATCTTGCAGAGTACCAAGGACATTGGTTGATCTTGAGAAAGTAATAAATATTCCATCTTAAAATGATACCTACCTTAAAAAATGCCCAGAGACTGCATCACCCTGAGTTTGTGTCATGTAGGAATCTCAAGAACCTGAGGCTTTCACAGTTGATCTGCAGTTGGCACTGAAGTACCACACAAAAACCTTCAATTTTTCTTTTTTATCCCTTTGCAGATGTGTGCTAAAAATGGATCATCACTGCCCATGGTATGTCCTGGATACTGGCTTGTCGTTTGCTGAAAAGAGAGGCTGTTTTAATGTATTTCTTCCAGAAAATAGTGTCTTTGTGCCCCTTTCACTTCAGACCATGCACCTCTTGATGCTGGGAAAGTTAGAAAATAGCTGCACTCTGAAATAGCCTGAAAGTGTTTGATATTCTGAAAGCCAAATCATTCATGGTTGTTCCATGTGTGAACAAACACTGCTATGTTGACAGAATTTAAAACCCACCTGCTAATCCACTCTTTCACTGTTATTCCCATTTTAAAGGGACTTCAGTATAGCTTTTGACTTTGGGTCTGTAATGGTTTCAGCATGCAGTTGGTGGCTGCTTTCAGCAGTACCGTTTGCCACCTGCACCCATGCGTGTTCAGAGACAGCGTGTGTAGAACGGTGCACAGGTCAATGAAGCTTTATACTTTGGAGAATCCCTGCTGCTAGATTTCTTAAACCTCTCCCTTTCTTTGGGGAGGAAGATTTCAGAAATCAGAAGCAACACAAACCAGTCCCCCCACAACCTCCCTGAGCATCCTCAATTGCAGAGGGGCTTTCAAATCCAGGTTTTGAGACAAACACCTGCTATTACTTCCTGCATTCCCTTGTTGGCCTGGGGAGTTATCCTATGCGTGGAGAAGCATAAATCAAACGTGGGGTTGGTTGCTCTGTGCGTGAGCAAATCAGCAGTGGGGAATCTGACTGCTGAGATTTGCAAATGAATGAAGTAACAGAGAAACCCCCAGATCTGATTAACCTTGCAGACAAGAAACAGCCGTGAGTAACTGGAGCTGCCTCTGTGACAGATTTACCGGTGGCACCAACTTCAGAACAATTCCAAAACACAAACTGTGCTTTTTCCTTGGCACAGCAAGAAGTCTGCAAGTGGGAAGCAGAGACTTCGGTTCTGTTGCACACTGACCACTAAGGGGAGCTCTTCAGTGATGAGATTGTGTTGCGTGAATAAGAGGCTTTGATAACCAACCCCCCCAAATTGTAGTCCTCATTGTGTTACAAGTGTGTGCTGTACATATCCTGATTGCAACTTTGCTTTTGTTCTCTAGGGTGAATAACTGCATTGGATTTTCTAACTACAAATTCTTTCTACTCTTCTTAGCCTACTCTTTGTTGTATTGCTTGTATATTGCTGCCACAGTCTTCAAGTATTTCATTAAGTACTGGACAGTAAGTCACAAACTTCGGTTACTTTTTTGTATTCTGTGCATCTTGTGGGGTTTAGTCGTTCTTGCTACCTTTTTGGTGTCAGTTTGTGGAGGTTATTTATTCTCTAAGGCATTTTCCAGGGCCCTTTTTTGAGTTTAACTCCCATTGTATGTGTGAAATGCACAAAGTGAAAAGCAAATAGACTTCAGGAGTTTCAGGTTTTAGAGTTAGCTCTAGCCAGGAAGTTGACATCCTTTTCCTCTACTTGCATTTGCATGGATGGATCTCTGAGTCTTTGGTATCCAAGCAAAACATCCTGGCACTGATCTGTGCATATTCCCTGAATAATATCAAAACACCTTGTTCATTTCCTAATCCCTGTATGACTCCTTTCTCAATTTAAAAGTCGACTGAAATGAAGCACACTTCTCATTCAGTTATCCGTTATTGTTCGTACACAAGCAGTGTCAACAGACAGCCCCAGTAAGAGTGTGGCCTTTGGGCTGTAGTTTTTTGTGTCCTCTCTGCTGCTAACTCTGTGTGACTGTGCTGAAGTAACTTTGCTGTGCATTAGCTTATTAATACTCTGTTGCTTTACTGGGTAGTCACTCAAAAACCGCACTGCTTTGGCTACAGGAGGGGAAATGAGCCAGATCATTTCTTTGTCTCTTGTGGCTTTCCTCTGTAAGGTGTGACATTTGTGCATGCAAGGTTGAGAACTCCACACAGGACTTTTAGAGGATCTCTTTCTCTCTAGGAACTAAGACTCCAGCTTTTATTTGTTCCTGTCACTTGTTGTTTTTCTTTCCAGGGTGAGCTGACTAATGGACGTTCCAAATTTCACGTCCTTTTCCTTCTCTTTGTGGCGGTCATGTTCTTCGTAAGCCTTATGTTTCTGTTTGGCTACCACTGCTGGCTCGTTAGTAGAAACAGATCCACTCTAGGTAAGGCTCTTGGGTCTTACTTTCTGAAGTCAGACACACCAAAAGTCCCATTGGTTTTGAGGGGAGGAAGATTTGAGATCTTGGCAGAATGCTACAGAAATTTGTCACTTCAAGTGAGGTGGTTCATAGGTGGTGTGATAAAGGCTTCCTTAGGGAAATGACAGCCTTCAGTGTAAAGTGTAATTATAACAAGGTTATGCATTTGTACAACTGCGTTCGCTGTGAGGTGACTGGAGCTCATTTTTACCTCTGCTCCCTGGATTAAACACACTGTGGGTCGGTTTGGCTGTTCCATGTGGCTCAGTTGCAAGACCAAACTCGTCCCTTCAGTGTGAAAGTCTTCGTAGACTTGCAAAATGAAGAAGGGTTATTGTCAAACTTTGTATCTTCGTCGTGCTAGTTCATAACCTGTTAGACCATGTTGTCTGTACATGGCTACGGCATGCACAATCCTGTTTCACAGTGTTTGCCACTGAGTTTTGTTGTTTTCACTGATAACTGTGTCTGTGTGCAGAGGCTTTCTCAGCTCCTGTGTTTCAAAACGGCCCAGATAAAAATGGGTTCAATCTTGGCTTCGTAAAGAACCTTCAGCAAGTGTTTGGAGAAGAAAAGAAGCTCTGGTTGATACCGATTGCCTCTAGGTAAGTAATGATCAAGCTAATACCGAGTTCTAAATGTTCACTGCTGCCTGTTTTCCACTTTTAAGTGTAGTTAAGGGGAAAGGATCAGCACAAAATCCTTTCTGTTCATGAGAGGCAGTGCTCAAGTACTTTCAGAAGCACGTTACAGTGTGCGTAGTCATGACAGGAGGAACACTTAAAGCATCAGAGGAAAAACGCCCTTCACTTTGTTCAGAGTTCCTCTGTCTGTGCTGCAGGGTGTTAGGGAATGCAGTGGGCACACATCAAGCTCCAACAGCTGGGGTTGAACTTTGTTACTTGTTATTGTGCATTTGAACATGCTCTCGGACTCTTGTTTGATACTCGGATACACGTTTCTATTTGGCAGAGTGTACAGTTTAAGTCAGAGGGAAGTGGCTCTTTTGTCGTTCAGTAACATCTAACTAAGATTGGGGCCACTTTCTGTTGGGTGTCATTCAAACGCAGAGTGCAGTTTCTGCCCTCAAGAGTCTATGGTATAAATCGGTAAGATTTATAACTTAGAATTTATACCTTAAATTGCTCCTTCCACATAAATGCTTTCCTTAGTTCCCCCCTCACTACTTTTTTCCCTGTATTTTTTTTCCCTGTATCCGAATGACTGGATCAAGTTGGGCACATTTAAGTTCTGCTGAAACTTAATTCCAGGCTATTGGTTTGAACTTCTATTCTCCAGAGAGCCTGAAGGAATTGAGGGCCACAACTCCTCACCAGTAAACCTTGGTATCTGAGCTGCCACAAAATAGAAACCCAGCACTAGTCAAAACTTCATTTTAAGTAAACATGGGAAATAGAGGTGACAGAAAACACTGACTGAGATAAGATGTGTAGACACTGTCATCCCTCAGAGCCCCTGGCTGCTTTTCACAGTGTCTTCCTCTGCCTTTTGCATGCAGCCAGGGCGATGGGCATTTTTTCCCCATGAGAGCTTTGTGTGAAGCTCAGAATCCTCTCCTAGCAAATGAAGAGCAGTGGGAAGATGATGGAATGGATGAAGAGCCTCATGGTAAGCTACCAGTGAAGGGAGTTGGTTATATCTCGACCTGCAGTGACAAATGCATGCATTACAAGAGCTAATCAAAAACTTGTGCTGGCTTAATCAGCTCTAACTTGACCAAGAAACACTGACTAGAAATGACCCCTCCTTCCTTCCGTAGAAGAATTACTGTGCTGTGAGCAATTCCAGGTGAACCAGCATGTTTGTACATTAGGTTTGATTAGCTTCTGAAATGTAAAACACACCTTTTATGCCGTGGGGCATATGTCCTGTTAGTAAAAACCTTTCTATGTATATCCATTCACTGATGATTTTTGTTAGGTGGAGCCAAGCTTAGTTCAATGACTCTTTACTGTTACATCTCTCTGTGCTTTTACCGTTTCATGTAAGGAGCAAAATATTGTGGGGAGGTTTTTGTTCCATTTGTTAGCCAGAGACTGGAAACATTTGCTTCCACATTCATGGTAATTTGGATATTTTTCAGATTTATTAATGCTCATCCTATTTAAGGTCTGAAATGTTCCATTAAAACAGAAGGATCTTGTCTTTGTGGCTTTAAAGCTTGGTATGAATAGGTGAAGCCAGTAATGGAGTAATCTCAGTTTACCAACTGCTCTTCAGGTATCTCTGACGAACAGTTGTCTTTATTTGGAATAATGCTTAAAAACACACTCCCACACTTGGTGGAAAATATGTTCTCAGTGAGGAAACAGATTTACTTACCTCTACTTTGATTTCTGTCCTATAGATTCTTGTGAAGCTTCCTCCCTTGCCATAGAAAGGGAGACATAGCAGTCTGAACATGCAGCGGTACAAAGCTTGTCCAGGAAGGTCAGTATTCCTTTCTTCATCACCTTTAAACAGCCGCTCTGCAGGGAATGGGCAGGTGATGCTGGGCAGGGTTTGACTCTTAACTGCAGCATACCAGACAATGCACTGGCAGAGCCCCTGTGAGCATGCTGAAGGCTGCTCACCCCAGTATGGTGTTGCTGCACCAGTATTTCTGCTTGTCCCAGAAATACGTTGTCTAAGAGAACCTGAAAGAAAACAGTGTCTCTCCTGGAGGCCTGTGCTGGCTGTTGACACAGTGAACACAAGAGCCAGCAGCTCTGTTTGCAGGGGAGGATGCAAGCCTGGCAGCTGCTCTGGTAAACATGGCAGGAGCGACTCTTGCCACTTGGAAATCTGTTCATGAATTCTGTTCATGAAGAGTGTGGGAAGTTGCAGATACAGTCCTGAAAGAAACCGAAGCTGTGAACAGCCAACAGTTAGGAAGAAATGGCAGTAACTTGTAATGCTACTCTTATAATTAATGTATTTATTTATTCACTGAGGAGAAGCTTTGGTACAGGAACAGATGACACGGTTTGGGAAAGATGCTCTACCAGAGTGTTCACTGCTCTGTAATCGGTCCTGGCTTTCCTAACAGCGGGGTGATGCCCTGCACACATGCTGGGCAGTGAGCCACAGGCTGTGTCCACCTCACTCTCCAGGAAATGTTTTCCTGGTGCAGTGTGACTGGAAGTTTCAGTCCCAGTGGAGGTTCAGGGAGTTTCCTCTGCTGCTCTGCTCGCAGGAGATGGAACAGTCAGGGAATCTTCCCCTCTCCTTCCTGGGGCTGTTGAATAACTGCACTGTGTGGCAGTGTGCTGTACTCCACTGCCCAGCCCGGCACACCAATTGGGCAACCCCACATTTTTCCTAATGGGCTTCTTGCATATTGTAGATGTGATTCCATTTTCTTCCACTGGGAGAAAAAAAACAAAGTATTTTTAATGTAGGTAGTGGGGATTGAACGGTGCCATTCTGTGGAGGGACTGAAACCCCAGCAGTTTCCCTGTCATTCCACATGGCATGGAAATGTCCCAGTATAGATGAGACATCTTCCAGTGCCCATCGGGTCAGCGCTTACAGCTGCACATTTTCTGTATGTATGTTCCAGCTTCCCTCTCAGGAGTCAGCATCTCTTCTCTTGGCCGGGACTTCAGTTCTGAGGGGCAGAAAACAAGTGAATCTTCAGGATGAGAAAACATCATGGAGCATCATCCGATTGGAATCTGCATTCCAGAGTGCTTCTCCAGGAATCCTGCCATCCAGATGTCTCAAGGCTTTCTAAGTTTTAAGTTACGGAGTGAACAGAACACTTTTATAGAGTGATTGTGGCCGATCAGCTTTGGCCTGCTCTTTATTTTATAAATACTCTATATTTTTTATTCACAATAGGTGTACAAATACTGACGTGAGCGCAGTTCAAAGGCCTTTCCGTTTTGCAGACATCAGGGACTCGAGTTCTTGAGGTTCTTTGAAGCCATAATATTCTTGGGGATGGTGTTTATCGTGAGACTGATTCTCCAGCCTGCTCTGACAAGTGGCATTTTCTGACACGTTTAAAGTTCTGAGTCAGTTCAGCTCCGTGAGAGACAGACCCACTGAAACTTGGCACTAAATTGACAGTTGGATCTAAGGGTGTTGAAAGACAAAGTGCTGAACATGCATTATACATGTGCAGCTGTGCATGAAAATAGAGCACATTGCCAGGATCGAGATTCAAGAATACTGTGGCCATAGGAGGGTGTAATTGTCTTGGAGTTAGAGTTCTAGCGTCCTTTGCGCCCAGTCCTACTTGCAGGCACCTAAAATGCAAAAGGGAACTGTGGACAGTAGAGTTGGTGTTAATTCCTAGGGCTGCAATACCAGCTCATCCCTGGACCAGTGTCTGATGGACATTTGTGTGTTTATGGAGTCAGGGGAAGGTGTAAATTCTAAACGTGTGAGTTAGAAATGCACTGAGAGCTTCGCCCCAGCAGCAGAGTCTGGAGTTTACGCCTCACGAGGGTGGTTTTAGTCCCGTACTGCCAAAGAGCCAATGGTTACATTGAATGTTTTCCAACTTCTCCCTACGTCCATGGGCTGGTTGGTGGTTTGAAGGGGTTTTAACACTGAGGTTGTTGGGTTTTTTCCTCCTTTGGCTCCATTTGCAGTCAGGGATGTACCATTGGGTTTAGTCTGTGGACTGGAACTGAAGATTTGCTGCAGGATTACCCACGTTTCTCTACACCTGAGGTTTTTTTATTTGCATGACTCAGAGCTGGCAGCTCCATCACTCCTGTGAATTAGGTGCATGCTTAAAGTATCAGTAGACTGCCTTTAGGATCATTTGTTCCCATTTTCTATCTAGGTTTTGTGTTTATCAGCTCATTGTGTTGACAGTGACTGCAGCAGTGGTTGTGCATGTCAGGAGAAATTACCTGATAAGTATCTGTTTGGTGACAAAGGTACTGAGCCCTTTTCCTGTTTGCTACTGCTACTGGGGGAAGTGTGTTTATGAGGCAGGAGAGTCTTGCAGGTTTTCTGTCCATAGGAGTGGATGTTTAACTACCTGGTGTAAACCATGCCCTGAACCACAGGTATTTTGCACATCAGCCTCTGTAATTGGGTATAGGGCAGGCAGCGACCTCAGTACATCAGTTCAGGACAGGCTCACCCAGGCTGAGTGTAGGTGATGCTGACTTCTCAGAGCCACAGGGAGCAATCTGGATGTTCCTGTTTCAGCCCCTCTAACCACATCTGATGGGTGTTTCTGTCAAATGGCTGTTGAGTGCTGAAACTGCTTTTCCCATCAGACTAAACCTGCATTTCTAACGTTAATTTCATGGAGTACTCTAAGCTGTGTTTGATGAAAGGTGCAGTAAAAATAATCACCTCATTGCTAGCAAAACATGTTCTGGAGGGGGCTGGTGAGAGGAGGATGGCAGCTAAACACAGTAGGAAATGTGTAGGAATTTAGCACCCACAGAGGTGCCATTTGTGCCTTTTAAAACTCAGTTCCTCGTATACAGAAACAGGAAGATGATCTGGTGACCTCCCGTTTCATTCTGTCAGCTGAAGTGCGATTTTAAGGTAGGAGTATGAGCTGTGTCTGAAGCCATGTGGATTCTCTGAGCAGGTTCTTGTGCCCTGGCTGGATTTGGTTCTGGTCACGGCCATGTCATTGTTCCAGTGCTGTGTCTCTGCCAGGCAGCAGCAGCACAAGAGCTGCCTAGAAGATGTGCAGGCAGCATCCCTGCCTGCTGGCTGCAGCACTGCTCAGCAGGTAGTAGAGGATCCGTTTTTGTCTTATTAAAGCAGATGTCTTTATGATAACACAGCTCTCCTGCTCAGAGTTAGAAACAGCTTTAAAGGTTTCCAAGTGACTTAGAAACATTATTTGCAATTGGTTATGGCTGATTTTCCCCTTCCTTAACAGCAGCTCCGTCTCACTTGGTCCAGGTAGAAACAATAAATAGTTTGAGAGCTTCAGAACTGCTTCACATCAACAGTCACACATCGGGGTTTGAAAGCTTCAGAATGAACCAGGAAACAAATACAAATGTGGTGTAAAAATGAGGCAGAAGAACATGTGGGAAACCTGCTGATGCCATAGACACAATTGCGGGTGGCCTGTGCCTCTTGCAGTTGGTGTTTCTAACCTTTGAAAAGGCTGTAAACAGGGATGTGGGCAGTGTACAGGCAGCAGCTACCCGTGCTTTTAAAGCTGGACTGCCTTTTACTTTGTAAATGGAGTTTTTTGTTTCCTTGGCTTCTGAAAGAAAGCTGCTTACAAAGCATGTGATAAATGCAGGATGTGTAAAGTTCTGTCAGTTATGCCTGGTAAATGCACTGGAAAACAGGAATTCCTCAGGCTGGCTGTAGTCACTGCTGCAGGTAATGAATGAATACACATTGGAGTTGGAGTTCAGGCCAAGTGCAGACGGTTCTGCCTTGCCTGTGGCCTGTTTGGGTTGTATTGCAGCATTTTACAAATCCATTTTGTGTCCTTTGTGTGAGGACTTGCTGTGAGCAGCTCTTCTGCAGGGATGTGTCTGAGTGAGGAACAAACGCTCTCGCTGGGTTTTGCTGTGCTGCCACCATCCCATCCCTGTACTCCAGAATAATGCTCCCAAGTGACCAACCCCCAGTGACCACCTCCTGCCCTCCCCCTTCTCACCCATGTACATTCAGGTACACTGAACTCTTAAATAAGCACAAAACATCACATTGATGTTTCCATGGATAGTATTGGGTGGGTAAGTCCCCTTCTTGGCCAGCGAGTCCTGTCCAGGGAATGAGGAGGTCCATAAGCTGCACTGCACTGCTGTTCTGCGTTATCTCTTGCTGGGTTGGTACAGTGTGGTTTTGGAGTAGAATATCCTTATATTCCATTACAGAGGAAGCAGTCTTGTGTGGTTTTAGTGGGCTGTACCTAGTGCAGGTAACCATGAGAACCAGGAAGCTTCCCAGCAGCACTGCAGGGATGAATGTTTACTTCCTGGAGCAAACCAGCAGACTCTGTAGGCTAGCAGTAGTTGTTAGCTCCGTGTGCTGATGTGGACTGAAAGCACAACCTAGTGGTAGTTACCAAACCTGCTACATGAAGTCTGAAGCATAATATGAATGTAAGTGTTGGGGGGGGTGGGGGGGGTGTTAAAAAGAATTTACTGTTTCTTCCCCAAAGTCAGAACTAAGGGGCAATGCACTGAGGTGGGTTCAGGGACCTGCTGCCTCCACACAGTCCTCGTGCCAGCAGAGCACATTCACTGTTTGCAGAGCTGGCTCCATCACAGGAACCTTCCATCAGCAGGTGAAGGAGGCGCTGCTGACCTTAGTAAGCCACAATTAAGTAACTCAAAGGGTCACATTCTTTGTTTGGTGACTTGTGTGGTACCAGGTGTTGAAGTTCATCCATAGTACTTGAAAATACCTTGATTCTGAGATCTTTGCAGTTCTGTCAGGTTGGGGTTTGTTACAGAAACTTACAAACTCATTCTGAAGCCACCAGTTAACAGTGTTTCCCTGCAGAGTGGGGTTCATTAGAGGCACTGGTCTGTTGGAGCTCCGCAAGAGCACTGCTGGTGCTGTTCCTGCTAAATGCTTGATTTCCTTTCTTAGTGATGAACTCCCAGATCATACCCGCTGTCACGCAGCTTTATTCTTGTTCTTCTGTCCTTCTCTGAGTCCTTCCTCTTCCTCCTGAATGTATCAGCTAAAATATTGCCAGTTTTCAGCTATCTGAGGTGGTTTTGGACCCTGTGCAGGTGAGTGGCTGTCACTTCGAGCACTTGTGCCCTGTATGTTATTTGTACCTAACCTGAATGGCAGGTGTGGGTCTGCAGTTCTCCTTGCTCAGGCTCGGCTTTGCACATGGCAGCGGGATCCATCTGCCCATGTTGCTTTTCTCTCTTCCCTAAAAAGGTTACTTTTTCCTTTCCTAACTCCCGTTTGGAATGTCAGCCTTGTGAGAGAAACCCTACGTTTACATTTCAGAGACCAGCCCGCAAGGTGGTGATGCTTTCCTGCTGCTTAAAATAGTGTTATTTATTTTTCTGTGTGAGGTTTTCAGAGGTGCAGCAGCCCGGGATGTGCCACTCTCAGCCGTGCTGTTTCATACCAATTCCTCGCTCTGATTTACTGGGAAGTGTCACAACGGCTCCGCTGCTGACATGAGTTGGGTTCAGTTTAATGCTGCTGCCGACATTGAGACTTTTGATATCAAATGGGTTTTTACAAAAGCTTTGGATACTCGTTTTTACTGTCTGACAAACATTGCTGTTGTTATGCTTTGTGTGTGTTCCACTTGTGTTCTCCTGGTGTTCGTATGGTTTCTACAGGTGAATATCCTCTGTGGTCTGCCGTCATTTTCTATTACGGTTTATACAAGAGAGCCTGCACGCTTTGTGCTGCACTGCAGGCAAGGGCTGCATTAAACCCACTTTTGGCCAATTTATTATACTTGTGTGTGGTTGTTTCTCTTACACAGCTCTGATTAACTCAAATCACTGCTTGGAGTGGGGAAGGTTCTTTATTTGTGTCTAAACCAGGATTCACCAAGTGCTGCCCCTGGTCCTACAAGGTGTTGGCTGGGGCAGCCCAACCCATTGCATTCCACTCTCCTGGCAAGGTATGAAGTACTCTGGTGGTGGTGATGTTCTGCATTCCTGCACTTCCTACCCTATGGCTGTATTTCAAATCTATGAATGGATTATATTATCTTGATACATAAAGTGTAAGTTATAGTAAGGTAAGACATGAGCCAGTTGTGTCCTCAGTGCCAGGGGATTTAAAGCCAAGACACAATTTGGCTGCAGGTTCCTGTTTAATCTGATCCATATGATTACTACACTGAGTCTTTCTGAAGGGCACAGAGCCACCAGCACCCTATCTGCCTGTTGGCTGTAAGCCCTAAGCCCTGTTGTCTGCAAACGGAGCTAAAAGCTGAGTTCCAGAGCATAATTCAGAGTCCTCTCTTGAGTTCTGGGCCATCATCTCAAGACAAGATTCTGCCTAAGCTTTGGTGTGGCTGCTAAGAATGCCATGGAGTTCCCAGCACACCCTGTTCTGGAAGCGTTGGGAACAGCCACACCA